ATGTTATGTAAGTTAAGTTTTAGTATCATTTCCCTTCTCCCTCTCTTCCGCCACCAGTTTACACCTCCACCTTCGTCTATCCTCAAAGGTAAAGTGCAAATAAAACTACATTTTTTTAAATCAATTATTATTCTATTATGGTTATTTATACATTTACAACTACAAAACGCAGTGTTAAATTATTTTTAAGTTATTGTTACATTATGTTATGTAAGTTAAGTTTTAGTATCATTTCCCTTCTCCCTTTCTTCCGCCACCAGTTTACACCTCCACCGTCGTCTATCCTCAGAGGTAAAGTGCAAATAAAACTACATTTTTTTTATCAATTATTATTCTATTATGGTTATTTATACATTTACAACTACAAAACGCATTTTCAGTGTTTTCCTTACTATAGTTAATTTTTTAATGTACTACTTAGCTTTAATTTGAGTGTATTTTTCGTGTTGGAACGAATTATTTGGTTTTACATGTAATCATATGGGGAAAAATGATTCACCTTACGACATTTTCATGATACGATCTCAGTTTCGGAACGGANCATTTTAGAAATGTAAAATTTAACAGATTAAGTTCAAAATACATCTCATATTATCACTATTAAAAATATTTAAAATTATCAATGTTCAATATTTTGTATATATTGTATTCAAATTGTACAGAGTTATCTAAAATATTGACTTGGAAAGAATCCAAGTCAAAATTGAATGGCAAAACCCATATGGATTACCGTCATTAACATTACACAAACTTTATATTTATCTAACTTAAAGAGATGGAACATGAAAATTTAAAAACTATAAAATATATATTAATCTCTATGATTAATAAACATACTTTATGTTATCTATATCCATGAAAAAAAAGTAAATTAAATATTTCATTTATGCCATCAAAACTGGTTGACAATATAATAGTTAAACAAAATAAGAAAAAGTTAACCTTTTGTTTGTAAGTTGTTTCATTTTCTGTTGATTCTTTTTCTGTAAAAATTTTAAATTGTTTAAATTGTAAAATCAAATATCATTTTTAATTAATATTTTTAAAAATTACCATATTTTTTTCTTTATAAGACGCACATTTTCATATCTAAAATTTATCTGAAAATTATCCTATAAGCTAAATGTTAAGTTTCTGCTAAAAATGATACATAAAAATATGTGATGTGGCCAATACAATGATACATCTTATAAGGTTAAAAATATGGTATATTTAAATATAAAAAAAAATTAATTTAATGTTTTAACAATCTAATAACATTGTACATAATAAAATAAATAATAATTAAAATAAAATTTTTAGTAACTTAATATTTTTCTGTTTTTATATAAAAAGTTGTCATGATTGTCTTCAAGCAATAGAAAAATATATTTTGCTTTTATATTAAATATATTCTTTTTATTTTTTATTTTTTAAAAATAGAATTCAAATCTTACCATTAAATTGAATATGTTATTAAAGATTGTTCATTTCGACAGAGCCGGCCCTACCACAGGTCGAACGGAGCAGCCGCTCCAGGCACTAAGTCCTAGGGGGCACCTCAGTGGTAAAGAAAATTAAAGGGTATAAATTAGGGGCAACCAAGGGGGGATGTCATAATAGGAACTCGCTCTATCCTAAAACTTGCCTCGGCCGGCACTGCATTTCAATATATATTTTGCTCCTTTATTCCAAATCATCAAAAAATTTGAATGAATAAAAAAAGTAAATTTCTGATTTAGAAAATTTATACATTAAAAGATTTATTCAAAATATATTTTCTATTTGCCTAATCTTTTTTAATATTTGGACAATTTATAAACATATCACACAAGCAAATTCTATGCTTATGTAAATAATAATTTATAATATTTAAATAAAAATAAAATCATTATTTTTGTTACATATTGATATATTATGTAAAAAAATACATAAGGTCTTAAGGTATAAGTAGCATTTAAAAGGAAACTTTCTGTCTTATTCTTATCCTACGGCTATGCAAATGAGCAATTATTCTAGCCTGATGTTAACAAATGGGAGAATGTAATATCAGGTTATGGCATTTCTAGCTTTCTTGTTTCACATTCTTGCTAACATTGTCATGCAATAATATGAATTTTCCCCCCTTCATTTGAGAGAGAGGAAAGAAAATGGATTAATGATGACATTTATTCTCTCTATTTTGATGACTTTTTAATTATTTATTCCATATTTCAGGATAAGACATAACTGAATTAATTAATTTCTTCCTAGAAAACTTTATTTATTTTATAATATTACAGGCAATGTTGTTCAGACAATGGTTGCCACCTCCATACAACAATGATACAAAAGACCCAGTAAAATGAATAAAAAAATGTGATAAAACAAAAACAAAAGAAATAAAACAATTAAATATAATAAAGCATTTTTTGCAAACAGCCTTAAATTTAGTGAATTCAACATAAAGTTTATCTTCAATTTTTACAGCAGCTTTCTGATAGTAGTAAAAAAATATTTAATAGTAACATTAAGACGACAATATTGAGAGTATAAACGTGTAGTGTTTCTAGTATTGGCAGAGGAGATGTGAAGGTAAATACATTGGGATGAGAGTAGACTGTTAAAATATTTGTAAGTGTATATCCAATTGAAATATTCAATGCATTTATAGAAATTAGGCAAACCTAGGTAAACACATGCAACTTCTGGGCAGTCTATAAATGGAAGGTTAGATAGTCTGTTAAGTAAAATGTAAATTTTAGCCAGTTCTGAATAAAACTTTAATTATTTTTCTTCTTACCTATATATACTGAAGAAGCAATGTTTGAATCATACACATACTGGTCCTGAAAATGAGGTAAGGATCTGATGCACAAGTGCAGTATAAAACAAGAACTTTAAACCAAAATAAAAATTAAACAGATTCTATTTTTTGCTTAAACATTAATTTTTTCAGGGTTTTTTTTTTAGCCTGATGATGATCTATTGAGTGGATCGAAAACATTTGTTTTAATAAAAAATCTCTCAGCAAATAATAAGGTATTGGTTACATATTTGTTTATTTTTTGCTGGGTATGATTGTGGTTATTATTATATATATTTTGTCATTTTTGACTATGGATACTAAGAGGTCCTTTTATCTATACCCATTGTGAGTTCAGCAGGCCAACTACAATGGAATCAACCAGGTGGTGAAAGACAGAACATAACATCTGGAATGGTCCCACCAAAAAATTTCTTGGAGATTTCACTTGCCCAGAAGCAATTCCAGATCTCTTAGAGCAGTAGGCTGGTGTCTTAATTGCCTCAGTCATCAGTTATTATATAAATGAATTACAAAAAAATGTAAAGTTGCAGAATAAAAATGTGTTTTTAAAAGACAAATAATTTTAAATGATGTTTGAAATTTAGTCTCATAATAATATACTTATTTTTAGGTAAGCCAAAACTTAAAAAACTAAAACACTATAACAAATTCACACAAATTAATTTGTTGTGAGAAATTAATTCAATGTTATCTATATATTAAAAATAAATTATCATATAAATGGTTATCAGAGATTTAAATTAAGCTTGTTATAAAGATTGTTAGGAAAAAATGAAAAAAAAAAAAAAAAAATCAATTTCAGAAAAGCCATTTGAAATATAAATAATTCAATTTATATGACGTAATATACTAAATACTATACTAAATACTATTTAATACAATTCAATCATGAGTTATTTTAACAATTTAAATTATTTATTTACAATATTTTGAATTTTATTATATTATTTAAATGTTATAAATGTTGGATGTACAAAAAACCATTACATAAAAAAATTGTTAAATATCATACCTGTAACTTCTATCACTGGTCGTAAGTTAAATAATTGAGTTTTATGTAATTTCATACATTTTGTTTTTTTGTTTAACACTCCAACAAAATATCTGTAAATGCAAAAATTTTTTAACTATAAATCATTTCAAATATTAATACTGTTAACATTTAGAATATTTAGTTCAATATTTGTTATAATACCATTGTTGTATAATAATTTAATTAACATTTATTCACATACTACTGTGGGTAAGGATTCTAATATAGTAATACTGAAATTAGTATCCTAATAATACTTATTAAAGTCTTTTCTGTATCTACACAACAAGCAACAAAAATCTGCTCAATGTTATCAGATAAGAACATTGATAATTTGTGTCTTAAAGTCATATTTTATAAATAAAAACACATAACTGTTCACTATTCTTAGTTCTCAGAGTTTTTATTTTTATATAGTAAAGCATTTTTGTTTTCTTTTCATTTTATTTCATTTTATATTTGTATTATTTGCTATCAGATTATTGTTTAAATATATTAAAATATAAAGATCAATATATCTTAAAATTAGAATTTTTTCAATTTTCTATAGTTTGGTTTATATGAAACAACTTCCTAATACAGAAAAAATACTAGTACTACTAGATTTTCCAGAAACTCTGGAAATTCCAAAATCCTACTACCAAATACTGGTATTAAAAATTTGTCCAGTATTGGAAGAACAGTAAGATAAAAAAATATTTATTCTAGATAATCAAATGCAAACTGAATTCAGCTGGCATATAACAACTCACTTATAAAGAGAGCAGACTTAGATTGTCAATAAAAAGATTTTTGATATCAGGATCTGGTCGATGATTTGAACCATTAATTTTTCATTAAATTTTCAATATACAAAAAGTGCTCTACTTTTGCAATTTGTAGATATGCTGCTGTAATATTTTGAGTTACAACTAATAAAGCTATCTATTAAGCATACTTTGAATCATAATAGATGGCAAAAATGTTGACAAAATAATAACTTTTATTTTCCTAAAGTTTATCATATACAGAAACTGTTTAGTTTTGATCTTAATCAAACTTTGAAATAAATATACAAGTATGTTACACTTAAATATTATACACTATATATAAATTGAATTCAACTAATACACTATTCAACTAATGCAATGTATACCATTCAGCTTGTGCAAAAGTCTTTTAATGAATTAACCACATAAGTTGAAAATTTACTATAAGATTAAATGAGTCATTAGAAAAGCAAAATAATTTGGTTTTTTGTATAGCTTATTAAACAGCTTTATAAAACATACAAAGATTAGATTAAAAATATTTTGTGTGTATATTATTGTAGTATAAACTATAGAAACTGCTTCAATTTTTTTTTATTGTGAATAGGTCTGATTTGTAGTGAAGTTAATTAGCTTAAGAAAGAGTTGAAAAGTTCTAACCCAAATCATTCATGAAAAGTATTGTGATCTGGATTAGATTTAAACTAGGATCTCTTACAGCTATACAAGTCATTCGGTGCAGCCAATTTTTCATATTAAATAATCTAAACATAAAAACTAGTTTTACTTTTTCAAGTACCAATTTCAAACAATATACTAATAATCAAAATATTCTGAAATTACTTTTATAGACGAAGATAACTAACTGTCCTCTTAAAATTCTTTGCACTACAGGACATTGTATTCTCTCTAAGGATTTATGCCAGTCATGACAAACTTTGACCTAAGTGACAACTTAAAGATGCACAGATTGAATGTTTAGAAAATATTAATTTTTATAAATTATATAAAAATATGTGATAAATTTCAAAATTTAAAATGTGAAAACAGAGTCCTAAAGCTGTTGTGTAAAGTCTTAAAGGCCACTAATTTGTTCATTTTCTTTTTAGTTTTTTTATATTATAAAGCTATTTACTGTACTTTTACCTTCTACTTTTGTAATTTCAAATATGATCATTTTTCAATATTTCCTAATACTTTTATTTTATATTTGTATTTTCAATTTATTTTTCTTAAAACTTTCTTTTTCTGCTTGTATTTTCTATCATACTTGGTATCAAACTTGGCTAATTCGAACTTGTTTAATTCAAATTCGTGATTAATTTGAACATTTCCTCTGATCCCTTGAACTCTCTATTAAAAACATGCAAAAACAAAACATGCAATTCAAACTTTTTTGTTTGATTTGAAGTGACCATTACTAAATGACTGTTACAATTACAACCATTTCAAATTACAAAATAACCCATTACTGAACTATAGATATTTAGTTTATGACATCATCTTACCACTTGTCACTGTGGCTGATAAATCTACCCTTGTATGTATTCACAAGAAGGAATTAGTCACTGCTGCAATCTTTTTTCTTTCAATTTTTGTATACAGCATTAGTGAGTTATTTCATTCTGTACAATAAAGGTGAAAAGTATTGCTGCTAATATAAGTTTACTTTGCAATTTCAATTGGATTCTGTGTGTTTTTGACAAAGACATGGAAATGTCTGTCAAAAATAAAGCTTGCCAATTCAAAGCTTTGCTGAAAAACTTCTTCTGAAAAAATAGCAGTTATACATAAAATAGAAAAGGGATTAAAGAAAAATTCTGAGATTGCAAAAGAATTAGGAACTTCTCCAAATATATTGTCCATCTATTTAAAAAATAATGACAAAATTTTGAACAGTATGACTAAACAGAGTAATTAAAATTACAGAGAGTAAGAAGACCAGAAAACATGAATGTTGATGAGTTCATGTTAAAATGATTTAAACAGACATGAGACAAACATTTCAATAAGTAGACTCCTTCTTAGAGGTAAAGCTGAAGAATTCACTAGTGAATTAGGAAATAGTGGTTTTAAAGCCAGCACTGGTTGGCTTAAGCATCAGGTGGCTGATAGGTAGATAAAGAATTTGGCAGAAATGATTCAAGATAGAGATACCAAAGACATTTTTAACATTGAATTGAACTATTTTATAAGTGAACCCCAGAGAGATATTGGCTTTCAAAGATAAGCATTACACTAGTGGTAAACAGAGCAAGAAAAGAATAATGTTTTTAATTGGAGCAAACATGATGGGTCCAAAAAATTACCTTTGTTGCTAATGGAAAGTCAGCCAACCTATGATACTTCGAAAATATTAAAACTAAGCCAGTAGAATATCAATCAAACAAAAAAACATGGTTGATAAATGAAAGTTTTGAAAGATGTTTTTTAAAAATTGACATTTGGAAAACGAAACTGAAAAATCTTATTGTTTATTGACAACTGAATAATACACAACACCATTCCTCTGATGGAAAATGTAAAGGTTATATTTCTTCCCTCAAATGTGATGTCAGTACTTTAACTGATAAATCAGGTAGCCATTAAAAATTTAAAGTAACACTATCAATAGCTTGTGGTCCAGAACATTCTGTCATGCACTTACACTAACAAACACAATAAAGTCAAGATCAACCTGCTATAAGCTGATTGGATGTGTAACAATACTTGGGATCAAGTGAAACTCATGACCATACAAAGTGCTTTCAAAAAGCTGGCTTCTGTCATTCAGAAGCTGAAAATATAGACAATGTTGAAGAGATTGCACTTGTTGTGAATAACTGGGAAGATGTGGGACAAAGTACAGGAATTTCTTTTGAAGATTTTGTAAACATGAACAACAACATGACAGATTGTATAGAACTTCGATATCAAACTTTTGGTATCTGTAAGTTCTCCACAAGACAAAAGTAACAGTGCATCTTCAGATAAAGAAGAACTTCAGATGAAGGAACAATTAGAACTTCCTGAAAAACCAGTTCTATCAACAATATGGGCCATGAAACATTTCCAGGAATTACAATGGTTTGCCAAAGGACATAACATAAGTAGTGTAATTTTCCAGTCACTTAATAAGCCTAGAGAGTACATAACTATTAAAAACAATCAAATATTCAAACTTTTTAAAGATCTGTTAATAGGCTACATTGTAACATAAGAAGTCTTTGAATAAATTGTTTTTAATGATTTTATTTGCTTCAAAAATGATTTTTGAAGATATTTTTACTACCCATTATAAACTTATCTAATTTGAGTTTTTTGTTTGTTCCTTTAGCTATGAATTAGCCAGTTTGAGTGCATTAAGTAAAAGAAATTTTAAAAATTCATATAATAAACAGGTTGTGGCCGAAGTTTTCAATGCAAAAACGTGTACATCGGATGTTCAGCACTGCCTTCCTGTAAGCCTAGAAGTTTGACAATGGCATTTGGAACATCATGAATGATTCCACTGATGTTCCAAACACCATTGTCAAACTTCTAGGCTTACAGGAAGGCGGCACTGAACGTCCAACGTTAGCTTTTGTGTTGAAAACTTTGGCCGCAACCTCACTAATATTTTAAAACATTACTGGCATAAACTGGATACTCTAGGAGCTTCAGGACCAAAGTTATAGCCAACATATTCCATTCTCTTTGTTTTCACTGCCTACAATAGAAATCAAAATTGTCATTTAGCCACTATTAATTTTAAAAATTTTTTATTTATTTATA